TTATATTGTATTTGCAACTCTTTCATGAATTTGATTTGTTTACAATTAAAAAATAAAAACTCTTTGAAAACTAGAAAAAGAGAATTCCCTCAATCTGCTAAGGCAACATCACTCAAAGTTGGTTCACAGACTGGGGCCAGATTGCAAATTGTTATTGGTGTGCAATGAGATGAGTACAGAAATTGAGAATGTTAGATACTTTTATAACAACAGGAGTAATTTTGATAATTTTATATTTGTTGAACCAGTAAAGAAGACTTTGAGTTCATAATTAAGATACTGTTTTAATTTTTCTAATAATTCATCCTTTTTTCTCCAGTTGAAGTCTCACTCTGTCACCCAGGCTAGAGTGCAATGACATGCTCACAGCCACCATAGCCTCAACCTGCTGGACTCAGGCAATCCTTCTGCCTCAGCCTTCTAAGTAGCTGGAACCACAGTTGCACACCACTATGTCCAGCTAATTTTTTGATTTATTGTAGAGATGAGGTCTCACCAAGTTGCCGTTGGTCTTGAATCCCTGAGCTCAGGCAATCCTCTTGCCTCTGCATCCCAAAATTCTGGGATTACAGGCGTGAGCCACCGTGCCCAGTTTATTATTCTATTCTATTCTATTCTATTCACATATTAGTATACCAAGGATTGGAATTTTTTTTAACTGGTCCTTCCAGGTTGGGCAACATAGAGAGAGAGACCTGTGTCTAAAAAACAAAACAACAAAAACAATTAGCTGGGCATGGTGGCACACAACTGTAGTCCCAGTTACTCAGGAGACTCACTAAGGCAGGAGGACCTCTTGAGCCTAGGATTTTGAGGTCACAGTGAGCCATGATTACAACACTGCACTCTAGCCTTGACAACAGAGCAAGACTCTGACTCAAAAAACAAAAACAGGCAGGCTTGGTGGCTCAGCCTGCAATCCCAGCACTTTGGGTGGCCAAGGTGAGCAGACTGTCTGAGCCCACAGGTTCAAGACCAGTCCAGGCAACTTGGCAAGACCTCATCTCTACAATAAATAAAAACATTAGCTGGACTTGGTGGCTCAGCCTGTAATCCCAGCACTTTGGGATGCTGAGGTGAGTGGACTGCCTGAGGCCGCGGGTTCGAGACCCGCCTGGGCAACTTGGCATGACCTCATCTCTACAATAAATCAAACATTAGCAGGGCATGACAGTGCGTGCCTATAGTTCTGGCTACTTGGAAGGTTAAGGCAGAAGGATCGCTGGAGCCCAGCAGGTCGACACTAGCGGGGCTGTGAGTGTGCCACTGCACTCCAGCCTGGGTGACAGAGTGAGACTCCAACTCAAAAAAAATCAAAAACAAAAAAACTGAAACTTCACCACAGGCAGTTTGAGAATGATATAGTAAGAGTATCTGTTAAAAGTAACCACTGTTGCAAACATCATACTTAATAATAAAATGTTGAAACTTTCCTCTGGGAACAAAACTAAATACTGCTACTACTTTTATTTAATACTGCACTAGGAGGTCCTAGTCTGTACAGAAAGGCAAGAAAAGAAGACAAAAGGATTAAAGAGGAGGGGAATAAACTTGTTACTTATAGAATGAGTACATTAAAAAAATAACTTTTTTCAGAGTCCCATCTACTTACCTCCAATATCTCTTGTTTTGCATCCATCCCTTTATATTAAAATAAAGGCTACAGCAAAAATACAAGATCGTCTTTGTTTTACTTAGATATCAGTTTAGACCCTGTAACCACTGGCCTCTTATTTGCGCTCTGGGCAGGGCCCTGTACATTTCAGATTTCAACTTAATCTCTCATCTCATTAACAAATTTTTTAATAGAAAGTAATAGACTACTACTTTCTTTTTTAATTTAGGCAGCTATCAAGATCCATCTCACAATTCTGAGCTATAACTGAAAATTCTTTAAGGGTCTTATATTTTCATATTTTCCATGATATTTGAATAGTATAGACATGTAGTAATTACTCAGTAAATTCCAGTAGAATTGGCTTCAAGTTGGAAACTACTTTCTACTTTAAAGTCATATTCACAGAAGGGATAAGCCAGACAGACAGATAATAAATCAATAAAGAAAGAAAAAAGCCAAGTGTGGTAGCTCACACCTATAAACCTAGCACTTTGGGAGTCTGAGAAAGGAGGACTGCTTGAGCCTAAGAGTTCAATACTAGGCTGGACAACATAGTGAGACCTTGGCATGGTGGCACACACCTGTAGTCCCGTCTGAGAAAGGAGGACTGCTTGAGCCTAAGAGTTCAATACTAGCCTGGGCAACATAGTGAGACCTTGGCATGGTGGCACACACCTGTAGTCTCAGCTACTCAGGAGGCTGAGGCAGGATTGCCTGAGTCCAGGAGGTTGAGGTTATGGTAAGCCCCGATCCTGCCACTTTGCTCCAATCTGGGCAATAGAGTGAAACCCCAACACACACACAAAAAAGACAAGAAAAAAATGTTTTAAATAAATAAGTTTGCTAAAAATGTCATCAGAGGGTAGTACTGAAAACAATTCAGTTCAATGTGACTACTTAGAGTCCTAGCTTCCAAGGTTAGTACTACGCTGTTTGAACTCATGGCTCCTTCACCTTAAATTGGGAGAAATATCCATCTATATTTGTAATGACTTGAGAAAATGCAGACTGACTTGAATAAATCTGTATCCGGCAACCCCTTCAGGTCTCCTCCCACTGTGGGAGCTTTTCTGTCCTCTCAATAAATCCTGTTTTCTTTTTTTTTTTCTGAGTTGGAGTCTCACTCAGTCACCCAGACTGGAGTGCAGTGGCTGCTCCCAGCCACTGCAGCCTCGACATGCTAGGCTCCGGCGA